CCAATCAAAATCAAGAATCTATTCGTAGATCATTCTAGAATGCGATTTCCTAATTTGGTATATTCCCAGACTGTAGTTACGACGAATGTTGACTGTTACAATACATTTGAAGTAATTACGTACGTACGTGTTTTTTTCGTAACCAAATGTCTGCACCTGTAGTCCACGCAGGTACGATACGTGAAAATTTTAAGGCTTTGCACATACACTCTTGCTTTACCCGTACCGTTCAATGTCCAATCAGTTGTAAATATTGGCGAATTATATCGATATCGCTAATCAGTATACTATGGTTCACAGTATATACGGATTAATAGTTTATGGCAATGATTATTTAATTATGTGCTGGGTACTATACATACTTACCGTACAAACCTACACATGGTACTTTATTGATGCATATTATAAATTAACGTATTGATTAAACGAAAAAAGATAACAGCGATCAATTTGGATTTGTAAATTATATGTAAATTTAGAAACACAAGCCCCAAGGAAGATCAAGAAAAAAAGATTGCGTATGGCTGTGCTCACATCTTCGCTCAGCGCATTATCCAATTGATTGCAGGTATTCTAGTAGATCATACATTACGCTTTGTTATCATTAATATTCATGACATAATTAAAATTAAACCAAAATAAACACAAATAAATAATAGTAAAAATAAATTCGAGATGTCAGAGCATGAATACGAATTAAGTACTAAGTTATTTTGAAGCAAAGTCGAAGCCTACATCTAATTGAAAGTGAAAGTCAACGTCTTCACAATTTCATTTATGCAATATTTCTACTTTTATTTTTTATCTGATAGTCACGCTTATCTTTAAGCACACCAAATATAATAAAAATTGCATAGTTTAGGTAAGGTATTCGTTTTCTTCCTCGCAGATTATCACAATTTAAAAAGGAAGTATTAACAATTATTCTATTTATTACAATTCAGAGATTTTGGTTAATTAAACTGGCTAAATTAAACTAGTGAGTGGTAATAATATATTATGAATCAATGGATTTAATTTCCCTTTTTAAATTGCATATTTCAACAACTCGACTATCAATAAATCAAGAATTATTAGTTCGTATCAGCAAGTTCTCAATCACTAAATTAAATCCTATGCCGATTTAATAATTTAATTAGTAATACAATATTACAATTATAGTAATAAGGTAAAAGAAAAATAATCATAATTGATTCCTCGAGAGCTTTGTTTATGTAATTTAAATATTTAATAATTTAAACCGGCATATTCTTTCATATTTTAAACAGCACTTTAAAAGAAAAAAAATGAAGACTCTATCATATAATTGGGCCTTCATAATTAAATTTATTGCTATTTCTTTCTTGGCCGTTTTGCCAACGGGACTTACGCAAAATATAATAAACGATTCTAATTTTACCTATACTGAAAGACCTATCCAGTCTAATCTTACTGGTGCTCAACCGCGCATTATAGATATTAACCATTATCGGGACAGTCAAAATACTGCAATTGTTCGCATCGCTCGAGATAATTACATAGCTGGCATTAATAGATGTTTTGAGCAAAGATTATTACTCCGCGTTATTCAAGCAAATGGAAGTGTTATTCCAATAAATTTTGATAATATCGCAGAAATACAAGATATCAATTATTGCATTGTTAATGGTGCTAAAAATCCTATAAGCTTTTACCCATTATTTGATCAATATATTCTAGTAACATACACTCATGCAACCGATACTTCTGATAATACAACCTTTATGGATAAAGGTGTGGTTATAGATTGGAGCGGGAAAAACATAAGGTCTGTTAATATGTACCATACTATATATTAGTATAATTGTTTGCATATTACTATGTATTATACATTATATGTTTAATATTATATATGACAGTACGCTTGATTTTGGTCCATCATACTTGCTCCCACGCACCACTATTTGGAATCCAAGTACATTTATATCAATTAATGTCACTCCTAAAAGAGGATTTTTATACCTATCTGCGGTTAATGGAACAAATGATTTCGAATGGAAACAATACGCATAGTATGTTACATTCTTGTATTTGTTAATTACATATTCTGCACACGTATGTACGTATGTATAACATTTAAATTTCTTTATTTTTAAAGTAATGGTGATGGAAGCTTCAGTTTATTACAAAGTGATAAGAATTATAATATAGCTTTTAACACCTTTCAAGTTACCGTATTTGCTACTTTAAATGGTGGTTATGCAATTGTGTATGCTAACACGACCATCCCAAGTACTTCCTCTAACTCGTTAGCAGCTCAATTTACCGCGAATGCTGGAATCTATGCCATAATATTGAATTATAATCAATCATATACAAGCAATCCAATTATTTTACATGAAATGTCTACCCCCAATTTTATTGTAAGATTCACTACATTGTATTGCTCTGTTGATTATGTCTATATTGGTCATCAATGTATTTTATCCGGATTATCAATAAGTAATAATAACGATAATACTAGTATAATTCCTCCATCAACCACTACTGGTGCCGCGCCTGCTTCTACTGTTACTCCATTTTATATAAAAGTGCGTTTTCTTTCCTCTGGATCCGTTCTTAAATTGGATCCTGTACTCAACATATCTTCAAATACCACCCCGAATATTAAAATACTACCTCTCGGGGGATACGCTGTAGTCTTACGAACTTTTATTGGTCAAGCTGTGAATTTCACTTTTAATCTTTACGATGAAGATAATAGACAGTACAATCATGCACCTATCATTTCAAATTTATTTGGTGCTTTTATTATATTAAATAATAATACAATGATAATAGCTCAAAGCGAGACTACTACTTCTTGGAGACTTTTTTCAATCGACCTTCCTCGACTTGCTTCATATAATGGTAAAATGTTTTTATTTTTTTAAATTAAATAATATTTAAGCTTATATCTTATATTTTATATTTATAGATAATGGTTATGGTAATTTACATGTGAACATAACATATCCTCAAAAAAACGTTAATAACTTAGCATTGAATACTGAAGAAATTAGTATTACGTTTCATGATCGCGTTTCATTTTCATTTTCGGATGCTAATTTAACTATTTATCAAAGAATCAATCAAACTAATATTGTTCGACAATTAATTAATGCAAAAATTTGTAATAAATGTACTGCCTCTGACAAAGTTATCACACTTGGTGTGTTTAAATGTACTTTTAATGATCCAAGTGGTCATTATTTTATACAAATGGATAATAATTTCGTAAAAAGTAGTGAATATGGCGAACCCATGCTTGGAATTGACTCAGATATGTGGACTTTTCAAACAGGTTTATATTATATATATATTATGTAATTGTTTCCAATTATTTACTGCAAATTTATTTAGTGACAACTAAATCTCACTATACAATGTAAATAGATAATGGGACTATACGAAGTCAAAAAATTGACAGTAAATTTATCTTAATTTATCTATCAAACTTTTCTATAAATGAATTGGTGATTAATTCTAAATTTACAACTAGGTAATTTTCTGGGAAACTACGATTAATAACAAATGGAACCTTATATTTTTAGCTAATTTAATAAATGAACTCGTAATGATAATTCCAACAGATAATGGAAGATTGGAATCAAATAATCATTATCAAATTGATACATCTTCTATCGAATTAAAAACTCTTATCTCTCTTTCTATTATTGCGGCAAAAAGTAGTGACAAAAAAAATACCAATGCGATCAAAGATGATTTAAACCTACTAATACAAAATAAAAAATTTACAAACTTATCAACAGGAGCTTCCACAAACTATTTAGACGAAACTTATGGATTTCAAAAAGCTGGTAAAACTATGTGCTTTTTTTTGTTTACAATTTATTTATTTATTATAATTTATTTATTTACACTATTAATATTAAAAAAAAATAATTTATTTATTTATTATATTTATTTATTTATTTATTATAATTTTATTTTTTATTTATTATAATTTATAAATTATTTCTTCTTTTTAATAGTGTCAATGCCAGAGCTCTTTGATTTACATAAGATAAAGTTCATCATAATATTTGTAGTTATAGCTTTAATTTTACTAGTATTCGCAATAGCTAGATTTAAATCACCAGAGGTAATGATTTTTTTTATAAATAAAATATATTATCTCTTAGTTTCCTAACCGTTAACATATAACTAGAGGTGCAGACTTAATGCCATAACTTGTTGTAGCTTTATTAAATTACGAAAAATAATGAAATGCTGTAATTTATTATAGCTATGTCAAGACACGGCATTTTGTCTGCACCTCTACATATAATACAATATAGAGCGAAAATTTCGCCATTATACAACTTGGAATTGCCATGTTTCGTATTGTCACCATTACAGCGTTTACTTTTACTGATGCTAAAGGTATCCAAGTTCTTTACATACTAAGGTAACATCATATATTATTCAAGTAAATATCAAATTATCATTTGCCATTGAATTCATATTTTTACTATTAAAAAATTATTGTAGCGTAGTATTTTTAGCCGTTCCTGTAGGATTCAACTTAATTCTAGCATTTTCAATATTATTTATGCAACGAAATAACAAATTTGTCGAATGGTTTGCAAAATACGGAAGAGTCGCCACTTCATTCGCTTTATTATCTGGTTCAAGTATTGATGTGCTATTAGTATTAAAATCATATTTGATGAAATTTGAACTTTTCAATGCTCCATTCTCTGATAAATCATTGAAATGGATTTTTTGGGGATCTTGTGCTGACGTAATTTTGGCAGATATTCCACAATTTATTATTCAGGTATGTACATATGTTGTAAAAATGATAAAAATACTAATACACCTATTTTTACTAACATTGTATATACATTTTACATAGATATTTTATCTTCTTTATAGTGTCGAAATCGAAATTCTTTTAATTTTCTCTTTAATCGCATCAGGTCTTTCAGTGCTTTCCAACTTACTTAGTAAATTATTCTTTATTAAATTTAAAGCATATTCCCCTTATTTAAGTACATTATATGTACATCATGCTGTCGAATCTAATGATTTAGATGAAATTAGAGATCATAAAACTACTGAAAATAACAAAGATATATAATCATATTTATTAAAAATAGTCAATAGTGAATTTTATTACATTTTTATATGGAAACATAACATCATCATTAAGTATAAGATATTGGTCATGCAACGATTAATATCATGAAAAATTTGTTTTGTCGGATCAAATGATTGGCTGACATGTGCCGCGTAGCGGCACGTTTCAGCCAATCATTTGTTCCGACAGAACAAATTTTGTGAT